GAGCAGAAGCCAGGGTAGGAGATGTCAAAGCCCCTTCTCTGCTGCCCCTCCTCCCTGCGCCGGGTGCCACGTCCCCGGGCCCCAGCTCCTGGGATCTGCCCTGTCGGGAGACTCACACTCTCAAGTGTCCAGTTGGACACAGGGCCGCACGGCGAGTCTCCGTCAGATCGGCGAGGGACCAGAACTCCAGGAGGATTCAGACGGATTGGGTGACTGTGGGCGGGCTGCACAGGGACCCCCTCCATCGCCCTCCTTACCGGGAGCCCAGACCAGCTCCCGTGAAACAAAAAGCAGTTGGTTACTCAAGGCATGGCAGATTTGGTCACACGTGGCCAGCCTGGCCAGGACGGCGAGAGGCCGCTGCAATCGTCAAGGCTGTAACTGGCTGGTGGGGTGGGGCGGGGCGGGCGGGGCGGGGGGGGGGGGGGGGGGGGGGGGGGGGAGGCAGGCCCGCTGACCTGGCTGGACCCCAGACCCACTGTTCTGTAGTCTTGACACCCACCTCTGCAGAGCCTCCCAGCCCCAGCCCACACCCTTGGGAGTCCTGAGAGGGCCCAGTTCAGGCATAAAGGGGACGGGGCAGCCTCCAAACTGCCCCCGTTTGGCACGGTAGCGAGGGGATGGAGTCCGTGAGCCGAGTTCTCCAGCATTTACATCAGATGTAAATGTGTGAAGTTCAGACACGTGTTCTGACTCCATTCAGCCCACTCGCGTCCTGACAGCTGGGGAGAAGCCCTCCCAAACGAAACAGGAAGGAGCCGTGTCTGGATGGCACCCAAACACTTGCCCTGTTACTGCCTTGGCGGTGAGCTAACAGAGCGAGCTGCCTGCAGCCCAGAGAAGGGCTCGTAAGGAGCACACCACAAGGCCACGGGCACCTGACGCCACCGCAAACTCAGAACACTGTTTGCTTGGTTCCGCATTCCCCTGACATCGCCCCCCTTCTCTGGCTTAGTCACCCTGACTTTTCAGGTGCTCTCTTCATCACATGCTGCCCCAAATTCAGTCGGCGGGGGCCCTCTCCCATGGGCGTCTCCTGTCTGATTTTCCAGGGCTCCCGAGGCTGACTGCACCTGTCTGCAGGAAGAAAAGGCAAGGTACTCACCCAGCACCCAAGGTGTCCAAGGCCAATGCCTACGGTCCAGAAAAAAACCTTCACCGGCCTTGTCTCCCTAGACGGAGAGAGATAGCAGGCCCCTCCTTAGTGAGGCCAGGAAGTCCAGGTCAAGGAGCCCAAGGAAGGGAGCCCTCTTGCTCTGCTCCCAGGAAACCCAGCCCCCAGCTGAAAGTACTTCTAGGGACATGTCAGCAGCTTCCTTTAAGTGGTTTCATCCAAAGAAAAACATCCAAGCTGAAGCAGCTTTCAGAGGAGGGCAGAAGGAGGGGTTGGTGGGTGGGAACCACCTTCCATCCGCATCATCTCAGAAAATAGTGACGTGGAAGACAACCTCTGGGCCCGGGTCCCTGACCCTGGGGGAGGCTGGCCCTGAGACCAGTAGGAACCATGCTCTAGCTGAGCCTGCAGGCCGGGGCTCGGGCTCCAGATGGCAGCGGGGGTGGGCTAACCCCGAGCCCTGCCCGCAGCGATGGAAGGGTTCAGAGGCCTCCTCACAATTTGGTTTGCTGAGCGGGGAAAGTTAAAACCACCCTTTTTATTTGGGAGCCTTTGAACAAGTTTAAGATCTTGCCCCTTGTCAGGAAATCTGTTTTCACTTATAGGAAACAGACTTGGGGGCCGGCAGTGAGCAGGGCGAGCGTCGGGAGCCCCCGCACTGACAGGGTAATTGTATTTTTCACCGCCGCGCCCTTCAGCCGCCCCTCCGATGCTGGGCGAGGCACCCGGGGGCCGGGGCTCCCCACTGGACGCCCGCTGGCCGCCGGCTGGAAGCGGGTTTTGGGGGCTCACTACGGGAAGGGCGCGCGAGGCCGCCGCCAGGCACCAACCTGCGCGGCGACAACCTCCGCCTGAGCCTCCGGGGAGAGAGAGAGCGGGAAACGACGCCGCCCCAGGCCCGCGGAACTGAGAAAGTCCCGAGCCCTCGAAGGCCTCCCAGGGCCACCTGAACGCAGCCACGCGGGCCGCCATGCCTCCCCTCGCTCACATGACCCCAGCCGGGCCAATCAGGGTGCCTGGCCCCTCTGGCAAGGTGATTGGCTTCGGGTGGGCACGTGACCCAAGCTGAGCCAATCAGAGTCTGCCCCTCGGTTCGCAGGCCAGCCTCGGAGGCCAGCGAAGGCCTGCGTCAGCACCAGGTGGACCAGAGAGCTTGAGCTGGTGACCGACTTCCTGGGGGACCCAAGTGAAACCTGGGTCTCCTGGCTTCGTGCTGTGCTCAGGGAGGCCTGCGTACCTGACCCATGGGGGTCGGCAGATAAAAATACAGGACACCCAGTTTAATTCGACTTTCAGATAAACAAGGAATACCTTTTAGCGTAAGTATGGCCCGTGAAGTATTAGGGATATACTCATACTAAAAAATTATTCACTGTTCATCTAAAATTTTTATGTAAACTCTACCCCTCAGCGTGGGGCTCAAGCTCACGGCTGGAGATCAAGAGTCACAAGCTGTGGGGGCAGCTGGGTGGCTCAGTCAGTGAAGCATCTGACTTCTGCTCAGGTCATGATGTCGCAGTTCGTGAGTTTGAGTCCCACGTCGGGCTCTGTGCTGAAGCTCAGAGCCTGGAGCCTGCCTTGGAGTCTGTGTCTCCCTCTCTGTCTGCCCCTTCCCCGCTCACACTCCGTCTCTGTCTCTCAAAAATAAATAAATATTAAAAACATTAAAAAAAAGTCACAAGTTCTACTGACTGAGCCAGCCAGGCGCCCTTCACCTAAAATTTTAATTTACACGACATCCTGTATTTATTTGCTACTGCGGGGCAGTGGGTTGACCTTGAGACCCAACTGTCAAACTGGGCGCTCCCTTGCCCACCTGAGCATAAGCAGGTGCACCCAGCAGTTGTCCATCATGGAGCAGAAAGGGTGCCCACAGAAGACGCCGAGCAGGCCCTAAGGCACAGGAGGCCGCTGGAGCCGACTTCCTGCTGCAAACTCACGGCCTCTGTGAAGCCCCCTGATCTGCTGGCCGAGGAAGCAGCGTGGGCTCACCCGTGTGCCAACACCAGCCCCAAGGGGACCACGGTGCCATTACAGCCCTGCCTTACAGGACAGTCCTTCCAGAGGACATAACTTTACAGGACAGTCATCCCAGAGGCCCTGGATGTCCAAGGCCAAGGTCTACACAGAGTCCTGGGCAGTGTCTGACCATCTGGCCAGACGTGAGGGACTTGGAAAGAGCAAATGACTGACAGATGACTCAGGCAGGTTCAAGAAAGAGAGCGGACCGACATGGTGGACTGTGCCCAGAAGCGGGCACCTGCCTGCTCATGTGAATATCATCGGAGGCCCCGCTGCAGAAGAGCTAGTAATGGTCAGGCAGGCATGTGACCCGCCCCGGGGCTGCCTGCCAGCCC